AATGACTGGTTGACTTTCCATTTAACTCATCGTCATTATAACAACTTTCTGATTATATTTTGGCATCGATACAAAATAAAAGACATTAAATCGAGACTATTATTACAGTTTTCGATTCGAGACAGAAAAAACTATCAAAACAAATGCATACCTCCTGTCAGAATTATAATCACCATGCAACACCCTGAAAGCTTTAACATAATGTGAAAACTTTGAAAGAGTAATTTCTGAATCTTGAAAAGCCAACGAGCATCACATTTTGTTAGCATCCTCATCACCATGTAAATTATACTCATAATTAAATAATTGGCCCAATTTCAATCAAATCTTTCATCTTTTCCTTGTCCATCTGAAATTCAATTCCAACTGGATGAAGATGTCATCGTCATAATAATTATTTCATCTAATTGTTATGCAAAGTTAATTTATTTCCTAGTCAACTGTCATTTGCAGTGTTCAAATTAAAATAACAGGAAAATATAAAGACTTATTGACTTAGGAATCAACTAGATTATCCTTTGAAATTGAAATGAATGAATAAATTGTTTTTTGTCATTGGTGGGAAATTGAATCTCAATCTCATGAACCATTTTATTTGAATGATTGAGACAAAATCAAATTAATTGTCATGTCTCTTGCTGATGCATCTCAATCATATTTTATTCAATTGAATTGAAAATACTATCAGTTTACTTGAGAAAAAGGATCAAGATGATTGAATATAAATATAACTTTAAATGTCACAAGTGAAAATGTGTCAAAATTTTTTGTAACAAATTGTCACAATCATCAAGTGGGAATACAACTGATCCATTAAATTGAATATATTATATAATAAAATATTGAATCTCCTTTAGCATTCACCTTGATACATTTAACTCAAAAGTAAACTGAATCAATATGAACACTCACTCAACTCGGTCAAGTAGAATGAGGTTTTCTTGTCAATTAATTGAATTAATTGCTAACAAATACAATCAATTACTTACTCATAATTCATGCAAACAGCTTACAATTAAAACCTTTGGAAATTTAATTGAGGCAAACTGAACATTATAACAGTTCGATTGGATTATTTTTCGACATCAACTCGAAAGTTTCGAGCATCAAAAGCCAATGGCTCGCCATCTATGAGGCAAACTTATCAATAGTTTGATTGAACATTTAAATAATTTGAGTTTTCTAACAAATTTAATTTACTATTAGACGATAAAATCGGTACATTTTATCAGGTTAATCAAGTTTAAAATGATTGACTGTCAAATTGCTGATACGAAATGATATGATTTTGGTCAGATAGGATCAAGGTGGTTACTGATTTGATTGTTATCGATATGCTTTAAGTTGATTAAATTATCTATATTATAACCTTGTAATTTATAAATTGTAGTTCAGGTGTTTCATGATAATTTATCAGCTTGGACTTGATAATACAATAGTAAACACTTGACTATTAGTGAGAGTATTGATTACTGTTTTTTCAGTTCAATTAAAATAATCAAGAGGGTAAGTTGATTTAATGAAAGTTTCTTGTTATGTGTTGGTGATTTTCATTTATCCCTAAAGGTATTTATCATCATCACCATCATGGTTTTGGTGATGAACAAAAAAGTTTAGGATTGAGAATCAGGTGGAAATCGAGAGCTACCGAAAAATGAGAGAGAACTGGACCCTGGGCTAAAGACATAACACTGATCATCTTTATCTTCATCTCTCTCTCTCTATCTCTTTCTCTTGATGATGATAATCATCATCATGATTTCCCTTTGGAAGAGCGTTACAAATGATTACCGATATTTGAATGAGAAGCTTCTGATTTTTCTTTCTTTCTCGCAATCATCATCTTCTTCATCTTCTCTCTCTCTCTCTCTCTCTCTCTCTTGTATCATCATCTTTGGACCGCAATTAACATTCTTCACTCAGATAAATATCAATTTCGTGATTAAGCCAGAGGCTAAATTGCTACTGAATTAGATGGATCATTATTATTATGATTAACATAAGTTTCTGTTTCTTTCTTGTAGCTACTGAATCTAAACCTCACCTTTAAATATCAACAAGTAACACAGAGATTAAGGTGAGGCTACAGGTAGATGAAGAGAGAAAAGATTACTAATCATATAGATATTAATCTAAAACAGTAGCAACAATCAAACAGCAACAACATCAACAACAACAACAATCAACTAATCATAATAATAATAAACAGTAGCTTCTTTTACTATTAAAATAATATTAATACAAAGGAGGAAAATAAGACAACGAATTAATTTCTTCTTCTTCTTCTTCTTCTTCATCTTCTTCCAATATATTAAATCATATCTTAAGGCACTTTAACAATTATCTAGACTCAACTATTATCATCTTCATCTTAATCATGATGATAATGATGATTATGATTGTGATTATGATTATGATTATGATCAACTATCAACAAACATCAACTATTATTAGGAGTTTGTTTTACTTTTAATCATAAAAACAAAAGGTAAAACATCATAAAATGATAATTATATCAACAATCAACAATCAATTCTCAGTCAATGTTTTATCATCGACATATTTAATTTAATGGTTCATTGGATTTAATTGTTTATCATCATGATGCTGGTCTATAAACATATCACATCATTAAACAATATTATCACAACGAGTTTACAAGGGATGTTGATTATCATCATCATCATCAAACATGATATGATATGATATATATAATGATGATAATGATGATGATGATTAAAAGACGAAAGGTAAATTGTCCTTATGATGATTGAAGTGTTTTTGATTACTTTTCATTTAATTTTCCAGATAATCTAATATAATCTTACCTATTAAATTGAGATTGAAAAGTTCAATTCAAATCAATAGATATTGACCCAGCCTTAATTATTGTTGTTGATTTCAGTTGAATTAAACTCGATCACAATGATTTGATGACGATGAAAAGATCAATTGATTTGGTTGAATGTATAAAAACTAAATTAATTTAATTGCTGTTAATCAAGAGTAAAGAGTGAAAACCTGATCGCAAATTGACACAATCCCAATGAGCTGGAAATTAACTTGAAGATAAATAAATGTATCGATATTATTAAACCTCTAAATTGTTGATTAACAATCTAAATTATTCTTATTATTAAATTGTTCAATTGAAAATTATTTTCGCACGAAAATTTTTTATCAAACCAAAATCAAGAAAAAGAAACAATTTCATCATCATCTTCAATGGCGGTCTTACTAATTCAAATTCATCTCATCCCGTATCATCCTAATCTACATCATCTCTTATCATCATCATCATCATCTTCATCATCTTCGCCATCTTTCTGTAGCAATTGCATATTTATCTTCACTTTGATTTGCAACTAATTGTTTCTTTAGAGGAAAATGTTAATTATCCATCGATAAAGCATCAAGATTGTCTACTTATAATGATTTAGGGTCGAAACTGACCCAAACTGACCCGTGCCGACCTCCTCCTCTTCCTACTACTGGTCATCATTATCATCATCATCTAATGAAACTTAAAGTTTTTAATTTAATTCTGATTAAATTGCAGCTCAAACAAAATGATGAAGCACATTAAATGATAATTATCCTTACCCAAGGGTAATAATAATATAAATCCCTTTGTAAATTGTTGATTTAATATCATCATTATCATCATTAAGTGACCCTATAACAACAGGTAGTCGAGTGTGTCTACATACAGGGTATCATCATCATCTAATTGTGATTATCATTATTGTATAATTAACTTTACCTGAGATGATTAACTTTGATTGTCAATGTAATAACCTTTTTTTTTGTGTCCATTTCAATTGTTTAAAATACTAAGGGAAGTTGTTGATTAACTTGATCATATTAATTTAATTTGAAAATGAAAAAGATTCAAATATTAATTTAATTGTTTGAAACTGAATCAAATCTAATTTTATCTTAGATGAAATGATAAACTTGTCAAAGTTAATTAACTTGATTAACTTTAAGCAATTGATGTTTTCAAGTTAAAAGGATAACCCAATGTTTACCCAAACCTTTCAGTTGATTAACCTGATTTAATCAACAATTAACTCGTCTCAAGGTATTAAATTGATTAAATCTTTCATCAACATACACAATTGATTATTCAATTAACAATTGTGATCTCATGGTTATCCAGTTCAAATTAATTAATCACTCTTTTGATCACTTGATTAACTATTAATTAACAGGTAAACTTGTCGTATTAATCATAATACTAATCAACGTGTATCGCAACAATTAGTTGATTGTTGTAGATTTTTTTTTACTATCAAAAAAATGAGACCCAAGGATGTAACTAAATTGTTACAATTTAAACTTAATTATTATTAGTATTCAATTTAACTGTGAACAATTTATAATTAAGGTTAAAAAGACAACAAAATTTATCTTCACTCTCAACAATTAGATTATCATCACATCATAAACTTGATTATAATGATCACAATCAAGGGGACAATTTAAATTAAAAGTGTTAATCTTGATTGTTGTTCATACATAAATACACAAACAATGAAACAAATCATCATCAACAATCAGTTAATTATCATACTTAACTGTTGTTAACAACACAATCTAATATGTAATTAAATTACAACTTGAGCAAACAATTTAATTGTAACTCAAAATAAAAAAAAGGTCAAGAAAACAACCAATTCAAATTACTTGACAAACTGAATCAAATTTAATTGTTCACGATCAACAACAACAACAATAACAATGAAATTAAATTGTTACGATTGATTAAAAAAAAGTCACAATGAAATTGATTGATTTAATTGTCTTTTATTGTAAATCATTTGTGTTTTAATTGATTGTAATAATTATATTGCACAAATTGTGATTAAATTGAATATGATTAAATTGAGTATTTTATCATTATTATTATTAGAGCAATTAGTTAATTGTTGAGTCGATACATAAAAGTGATGAAGTGACAGCAAAAAAAAAAACATAAAAGTTGATGAGATTTTGTAAAAAAAAAGTGATCAGTTAATTATGATGAGTTAATTAATGAGATGATTGTTGAAAAATGTGATTAGTTTAATTGTTATTATGATGGTTAAATTGATTGTGAGTTATTATCTTGCTGTTGACGATATTTAATTGCCAAAATTGATGCAGCCATTAAAAAAAATTGCTGTAAATTAGCATCACCATTGAAGTTTAATTTATCATCTGTTGGTGTTAAATTGTTACAATTAAGGCCTACACCGGATAACAATGGATTATGATTAAGATTAAGATTAGTGTTATTATTAAGTCCAATTAAAGGTGATGGTGAGGATGTTGTTGTAGTCGTTGTTGATGATGATGAGGATGAAGTTGATGATGTTAATGATGAGGAAGAGCCTGTTGTTGATGTCGCTGTTGTTGTAGATATGGATGAAGATAAAGGTGATGATGAACTAGATGAGGCTGAAGATAAGGATGAAAATGATGATGAGGTGGTTGATTGACTTTTACTGTTGTTTGTCTCAGTGTTGGTGTTGTTGTTTCCGCCATTTTGTTGATGTGTTTTAAGATGAGCACGTAAATTACACGCGAGAGCAAATCTTTTGTCACAAACCTTGCAAACGTGAGGCTTATCACCTGTAAAGAGATTAACAAGACAAAAGGGATTAGCGGATTAGATTAAGAAAAACAAAACTTTTTTACAAAAAAATCCGAAAGAGATTAGATTAACTTGAATGATTCTTATTGTAATTTTCTTGTTACAATGTTTACAACTTTTCCACTTTTAATTGTTTGATTAATGATTTTTGTTTACTCTTATTAATTATCATTGGGTTGCTTGGTGATTAATATTGATGATCAAATCAATTAATTCAAATTCACTTTTAATTTGATTCTCATAATTTGTTTTATTGTGTTAATTAGCATTTTTAATTGTTAACTATTAGCTTATAATGATTATGATGATGATGATTAGCCATGATTTTAATTGCAACAGAATTTATTATTTAATTATTATTATATTTTCATTGAAACCGATAAGTTGAAATGAGAATCATGAAATTTTGTTTTCTGGTTAAACAAGTTTACTAGTTGATCATTATCATAATCAATTGATTATCATGATGTTCATCAAGTTGATCATGATGAAGATAATCATGATAACCTATAAGAAAAAAGGTTGAATGAAATTCTGATAAATATAGATAACAATTGATTCTGATTGGTTGTGAATATTAAACAATTAAGTTGATCATTGAAGTAAATCAAAAGTGATTATCAACAAATCTCAGGTAAACTTGAGGAAGATGATAAAGGGGAGCTAATTAGTGACTTATCCATCAAGATGATATTCATCTTCCTCATCTTCCTCATCCTTGAAGGTCAATCAAATCATCTTTAATAATGAGAAGCTTTTTCTAATTACTGTTTCCATAAATGATAATCACATATAATAAGAAATTAACTAATTCCTCTTGATGATCAACTTAATCATCTTACCTCTCACTTTGACCACGATTTAAATCATATACAGTAAAAAGGGTGATAAACAATCGTGATCAACTCTAATTGAATTTAACCATTAACCAGATTAGTTGATTGTTGCCTCTTAAATAACAATCAAAAGTTAATCATCATAATCACTTTTAAACTAACCAATAATTTAACTCAATCAACAAGGCCTCAAATACTTGATTATTTACCTAATTAAAATTACAATATTAATCAGTTAATTTTTATTAATAATAATCAGTTAATCTTTGATTAGTCAAAATTGATTTGATTTCCAGGGTTCAATTAATTGTCCCAATCATTTGATTAATTTGTTGATTTGATTTTTGGAAGAAAATTAATAAACTTTAATTTTTTTTTTCACTTCTCTTCAAATTGAATTGATTATTTTCGTGATGATTTAAATATGAAAATAATTGTTCAATGTTTGGGTGATATTTTCAAATTGAATCAAATTTATTAATCACAATTAACAATCAACAGAAAATAGTTAAACATTACATTGATAATAAACTACTATCAACGCTATTGGAGGTTTATTTTTATGATGGATTACAAATCCATGATTAAAGTTAATTGTTGGGTAGAGATGGCAAATCAAAATTAAGCTTAATCATTAATTTTTCAATTCATTTACTCATTTAATTGTATTTTATCATTGGCAAGGACACAGTTTAATTGTGTGCTAATTGTGTTTCATGAAAAGCTTTTAATTGTTGATGATTTCAATTGATCTCTATTCAAATTATTATTATCTCATTTTTTTGATTATCATCATCATAATTATCCTAATCTTAATCACTAATTATCTTAATCATCTATCATTTCAAATTGAAGGTAATCCTTGTATACAAACTGATCAACTAATCAAGAAAAAGTTTTAATCATGATAAAAATCAGTAATCAAAGTCATCTATATATATTGTTAATGATAATATTCAATTCAGTAATCATTGGAAATGATGATGGAGATGATTAAGATGATACACAATCAATAGTCAATCAATAAAATTGCTTAATTGCTTCAGGGTAAATTGATTGATTTACATGGAAACTTTTTTGATTTATTTTTTAATATTTCCAATTGATTGAGTTGGGGCGTAGTGATAATAAAGATCAAGGTATCAAAAGCTAAAGCAATTAGTTAATTTGAATAAATCATATATCAGACTGATTATTATCATCATCATCATCATCATGTAGTAATAATAATTAACTACTGGGATTGTTACACATACACAGGTAATTATGATTAGTTAAATGATGATAATATTAATCAAAAAAAAAAATGGTTCGATAATCAAAATGATTAGCCTAACCTAGAAATTGAAAACTTTGCCCATTTTTTTACCATTGAAATTAACCATCTAAATCTAGACACTGTTTAAATTATTATGATTAACAATTAACTAGTATTTAGTTAACAATCAACAATTATTAATCATCATAATCTGAATCACTTTTACAATTAATGTTACACTTAATCAGTAGCTCGGTAATGTAACCATGTTATTAAAAAGAAATGCTCAGAATTGAATATTAATTATCAATATTAATAATGATTGGAAATTAATTGCTCACTATTAGCTTTTTAATCACCATTTAATAGCATAAATTGTTAGAATCTTGATTCAGTTATAGGTTAAATTGTTATAATTGATGTTAAAGGAGGGGAAACAATTTAATTTTTGTTACATTTCAATCATGAATGTCAACTTATCTCAATCAATTGAATCAACAATTTAAAACTTAAAGGTAACAATCAATATTATCATGATAATACTAATAAATATATAATGGACTATTGTTAGTGTAGAGTAATCAAATTATCAAACAATCAATTGATTAGAGACAAGAAAACAAGAATATATATCAACAAAAATGAAAACAATAAGAAAAACAAAGGATAATCAAAAATTGATGTTAATCCAAATGTTAATCTAATCAATTTTTAATCCCTTATGTATCATGATTGCTACAGGGTAAAAAAATGAAAACATCTCATCACTATCGGCATCGGATGATAAATATTATCAATAAGGAAGACGATGAACAATAATAATAAAAAACTGATCAAGATTCTGAAACCGATAATGATTAAGAGGATGAAGCAAATCCAATGATTATCCAAGCGGAAAACAAGCTGAAACTGTTAACATATAAGTAGCATCATTCAGATGATGATGATGATGATGATCACCGGAGGAGGTAAAAGCAAGTGTATTATCATCATCATCATCTATCTGAGGTCATTTTCAAGGTAACAACAATTGAAGATAAACATTAAGATTAACTTTGTATCTATTATCAATCCATCCATATGATGGATTGTTGTTATTTATCCACAGGGTGAAAGGCAGAAATAAATTGTTACCTTTAGAAGATAATTTTTTCCTTCTTATTCACTTGTTACCTGAATTGATTCAGGTAAATCATCATCTTCATTATGTTAACAATCAACATGTTACACGCTTTTCCTAATCATCTTTTTTTTTCATCATCATCATCATCATCATAATAATAACAATCAAATGGTCAGTTACAGATTTAATCTAAAGGAAGAATCAATTATCTTACCTGGAGAAAAATAGTAAATACAATTTTCTTTTTCTATATATATTGGAACTTTATTATTCTTATCAATTTTTTATTCTATAATTTCAATTTCTCATTCAGATCATAGTTAGAACTTTTCCTTTTCTCGAACTTGTAAATTTGTTTCGTTTCTATTGACCTTCCATTGTGATAATACCTTGACCACTTTCAGTTGTTGATTGTGATTACCTATTATTTTGGGTGTGTCCTTGTGATTATTCAACTTTAATTGTTATAAATTCAATTAATCATATGATAATTAAATTAACTACTCATTATAAGGATCGAGGTTTTTCAAAGTATCGATAAAATTTTCACCGTTAATCTCAATCTTGTTTTTTAATCTTAATCTTAATTTTGAGACTTTACTTGAGTTGAATAAAAATTGATTGATTTTATTATTTTACCAACAATTAGGTTAATTGATTGTAATTTATTTTAATCAATTATGTTTATTAACAAAGGATTGAGCACGTTTTAATACTTATTGTTGTTTTTTACTGAATTAACCGTTAATTAGTTTGATCAAGTTTTCTCATTTCCAGACAATAGAGTCATGATTTGATCTAATTTAATGTTTAACTGGATTAATTAACATTCTCAACAATCATGATTAAGCTTTAAATGTTTTTCTATCTATTGAAGGAAAATGTTGATTATCATGATTTAGATTCATGGATTTATTAATATCATATTATAATAATCAGAAAAAAAAGATTAACTAATTTACATGAGAAATCAATTGATTATTTTATTATTTTTCTCTCCCAACATAATCAATAATTAACCGTTTCTTTTGATTAGGTAAGATGATCAGTTGAAGGTTAATTTATATACATAAATTGTAATCATTTAAAGATTAACTAATGTGATTATCATGGTTATTGATTATTGGAATCTATTTGAGAGGCTAATGTTACAATCTTCTTGTAGTTAATTAACTGGTTTAAAGTTAATTGTAACGTGTTCATGAGAGAGAGAGAGAGGGAGAGGAAAAGAGCCTGAGCTAATTAACCAATTAGTTTAATACCGTTAATTTAATTATGAAACGAGAAAAATTTAACTAACCACTAACTGTGAGCATTAATTGAGGCCTTAATTTCAATCACAATCTTTTGATTTACTTTGGGTCCTCTAAGGGTATGATGATCATCGTTGATCAACAACATCAACATCATCCTGGTTGTCAATAATTAGTTAATCATTTCAACAGAAAAAAAAGAAAAATTCACTAATCCTAATTGGCTTTTAAGTGTTGATTTGAACACAGTTTCAGATAATCTTAATCTCTTCTTAATCACTTGAATGTAGTTGTTTTTATTATCACTTACATGCAGCATTTTCTAATATCTTAATCACTTTGATAATCTAAATTGTCTCTATTAGAAACTTTAAATCATTTGACAGTTTTGATAAATCAACAAAAATTATCACAAATGTTAATCAACTAATCACAACACAACTAATCCCTCAGCAGGGTGGATAATATGTATTAGAGAGAGATGTTAATCTTAAATTGTTAACAAGTT